GTTTGAACCTCAAGAACTTAAAAATATACACTGCTGCTCTATGAAAAGTTTGGTTTCAGTACCTTGCTTCAGTCAAACAGTTCTTTGCATTTGCAGAAGATGAAAGTGATTCCCAAGTTATGAACCCAGGTGACATGAGGGATGATGATGTAAGAAAGTCTAAGAAGAATAAAAAATTTGCGTGAGGAGAAAGAAGTCATTTCCATCAGCTTAAGCTGCTGGTGAGTCTAGCCCTCAATGGGAAACTGGATTCAGCAAGATCAGGAACAGAAACACGGTCATGAGTCTGTCTACAGAGCTGTAGGCTAAACATAGAGCTTTCTAGTATTTTTAGGAAGAAAAGATGTGATAGGAAAAAAGAGAAAGATACTAAAAATTAGTGATGTGGGCAGAGAACTAAGAAAAAAACAGTGTCGCAAGTGTAAAGGAGGATTTCAAAGAAGTCCATTCCAAAACAAGAGAGGCGTTAAGGAGGATGCATCAAGGTTGTAGGTGCCCTTTGAAAGATGACTTGAGACATTGATAAGATCTGTTTGGAAAGATCCATCAATTTCAGAAAAGCATTTTCTCTCCCTAGCCCAGATGTGGATAGTAAGCACATATGTGGTCCAAAAGGTTTGATTCTTTTAGGCAATGCTTTCTCTGCTTGAAGCAACTCACATACATGAATATACCTATCTTGTAATTCCAGTGATGTGCCAATGACTACGTTCTCCCAAAGTTTTCTAACGAACGCCCATGCAAAAGCTATTTAATGGAATTTCTGGAGATACTTTCAAGAAACATAGTTATATTTTGAAGGTTGTTTCCGTAGTGCTAGATAAAAATAACGGCACAGACGCTTTTCAAAATAAATACTGTAACAATTAAAGTAGGCACACTGTAATTCCTCCTGATTAACTCAGAATGCTTGTAAGAAATTATTCTAGAGCATGCCTTTTTCTAACCTACTCTTTCTGTAGAACATACATGACTTTCACTTCACAAGATGAACAGAAGCCCAAGGAGATAACTATATTTTCCTTCTAGCTGCAGAAACATACTGCATAATTATTAAAGCCAAGTACTGTCAAGGATACTTTCTTTTGCGTACTACAATTCAGATGCGAGGAGGATTTTTCTGAGTTATACAAATACATCTTCTTTACCACCAACTAAGCTGTGCCCATGTGTTTCACCTAAATTCAGAACTGCAGATGAAGGAGAAGCTTTAAGAGTTCTGTTCTCACTGGGTGGTCACAGAAAACTGTTGTCGTGACTGCTATACCATTGCCACAAGTGTTTGTCACAGAAGTTCGTAGAAATTTTTTGGTGAAAACTGTCAAGCCAGCATTGCCAGTTTCCAAATTTTGAAAGCAGGACCACATCCAGAGTGTAAGTGGTATGTACGGGATGTATTCTGGAGAATGTAAGACAATATGTTATTTACAGAATAGTGAGCATTACAGGTGTTGAAGGGCAAATACAAGAACCTGAATTTTTATTTCATTTTCAAAATAAATATAAATATTTGGTTAAAGACATTTCATAAAATACCCAGAATACATTTGCAATGGTAGGCAAAACAGAAAATGAAAATTTAAAATACTCTGAAAAGACACTTAATAGCAAGGTAAAACAGACACACCACCCCAGAAAAGTAAGTTCTACACCCAATGACCCAGTACCATGCTGCCAGTTACTTACTGCTATACATAGGAAAGTAAGTCTTCAAATTTCCTCAGAGGCCGTCAGCATAAGCCCAGAAGAATGAATGTTAATTACTCATCCCAAAAATATTAATTATTTTTAGTGAAAGTAATTTTCATGATGGGTCAAGAACTACAGCCTTGGGAAATTGAGTCCTCCTTTTATATATGTGTACACACACACACACACACACACAGATAGGTAGATACACAGCAGGTAGAGAGAGCACAGCCAGCTTTAGCTCTGCAGTATTGCTAAAAGTATCCAATCAGTTTTTAAATTCACTGTAGAACTGCTCATCTGTAGTAATGAATTCTGCAGTTTGCTTATATGCTGCATAGCCTAGTACTTTCTTTTGCTGAAGTTTTATGTAAGCTTGTGCTCTTTGATTAAAGGAAAGAAAGGAAAGGAGGAAAGAAGGAACTGAGGGAAAATAAGGAAGGACAGAAATTCCCAGGCAATGCTTTGTAAAATTTTACAAATTGGGAAAAATTGAATTCACTGATGCAAGAGCCACCACAAGTTCTTTGTTCAGGCTGAATTAAAAAAAAAAAAAAAAAGATTCAGGTGTTACCAGAACTGTGGCAGTAATTACATTTATTGTTTGAAAATACAAGTGCCTGCCTTGGATCTCAGCTGTGGAATTCAAAAATCAGGCATGAGTAAAAGGACCACTCATAAACATACCTCCATTCAGACCAAACCCTCCAATAGTTTTAACAAAGGAGAAAAAAATGACGGACTCTGCTGCATTCCCGGAGGCAAGCAAATCCAGGTTCTGGTGGACGACGGTGAATAGAGCTTTCCAAAACTGGGGATCCCTCACAGAGAATGAATGCCCTGCCAGCTGTTTCCTCATACTTCATTTGCAGAGCTCAAATGTGTGAATCTCTGTGGAGTTTGACTTGGCGGTATATCACAGGGAAAAAAGAAATCTTTCAAGCAACTAGACTCAGTGCCACACAGCTGTGCCCAAGCACGATGAAGTTCTCGTAAACCAAACAGTTCGGCAAGAAAAAGGTTTATCTCTGTAGGATAATTTGTTTTAATCTGTTAATTTATGCAAATCCAGTGTGCTGCTATCTTTTTAATATCTCCCATAAGGTTTTATTTAAAGTCTAGACATGCTCTACAGAGAGCATAAAATGCGTGGATCTCAAATCGCATTTTAAAACAAGAAGGTTTTAACAAGAGGGTCATTCTGGATGCAAATCTGACTCATGGTTTCTCAAACCCCGGGCAACAGCCAGCCTAAGACACATCACGTAGGCTGTCAGTCAGCCGCAGAGCAGCCTGTTTGGGAACCACGCATTCAGCCCTGTACGGGCTCCGGCTGCCTGGACCTGGGCACCCACGAGCAGTGCCCTGAGCAACAGAACCAGCATTCCTCCCCGACCGCTGCTTCTCTCACCAGCTCCCTTGGGCAATAAGCGAGTGCCATGCATCGCAGCATCCTATTTTGTGAGATTGTTGGGGGCTCGTGGGGTGTTAGGGTGGTCTTCTTTTGAAAATTCTTCTTCCTTGGGGTTGCCTGAATGTGAATCTGTGTGAAGGCATGGTGGGAAAGGCAAACAGTACGTACTAGCAGGTCATGTTCTGTTTACCTCAGCCCAATATTTCTTTCTGTCTTACTACTACATCATTTCATACTTTTTTAATAGAGAGAATATATACAGAATATTGCAAAGACTTGTCACAAAGCACACATATGTCAAGGAGCCATGTGGCAGGGAATGGCGGGGCCCCCTCAGGGGCTGCCAGGCAGGACTGCACCGGCCAGGGCTGGTCCCACCATCCCAGCCAGAAGCAGAGCAGGATGGGGGGCATGGTGGGCAGCTGGGGCCAGCACGTCTGCCCACTCTTCGCCGTCTGGACCGGCAGGATCCACGGCCGGGCACAGACCACTTAACTAACTATCCTCAGTCCGTAGTCTGGTAGGGCACGGGCAATTCTGGATCTCCCGTTTGCCTAATGCTTCCCCCCAGCCGAGCACGATTAGCATTGCCATCCTGGATTCCCCAGGACCATTTTTCCCCTGTTGTGCTTTAGCGCACGCATTTCTGAATCAACAGCCGAGCGATATTGCTTGGTCTTGCAATGCTGTTGTCTTTCTAGGTTTTTTCTTTAATGAACGACAGGGTTGTAGGAAATTCTGATGTTTATTCATTCACGAGAAGTTTCACACTGTATTTTCAAAGTAAGCTTTGGGAGCATAAAGTCTAGAGGCTCAAATAAGGAAAGCTAAATAAACATATTGTTTAAAAGAAAAAATTCCTCTATACGATTTTCCTGCAGGGTAACGACATTGCGCAAATTCATTGACACCAACTTCTAGGTCAGCTTGGGTCTGGAAGAAGTACAGCATTTTCAAGCCAAAGAGCCCCCGAGCCGGCAGATATCGCCAGTTGCCACACAGAGAGCCTGGGGTGCCTCCGTTTCCAGCCTTCGGCAGGGCAGGGCAGGCTCCCCGTGTGGTTTTTGTCGAGGCTCAGCTCCTCTTCCAGAGCTCAGGCAGGCTCCAGCGCGGGTGCAGGGCCGGGCTGGCCCCATCCGACGTCCTCCCGGCTGGAGCAACTGATTAACTTCTGATGAACACTCCAGACGAAGCTCGGGGTGGAAACCGCACCGTCAGGTCGGGTTCGCTCCTACTCCGTTGGGTTTAACGACCTACTCTGTTGCTGCAGGATCAGCTCCACGACATCTTCCCGGGGTGACGACGTCCACACAAGACGTCCCGCTCCGGAGATACCGTCCTCCAGCAGAAGCGCCGGCGCGCCGGCCGGCCCTCCCAGCAGAACGCGCGGACGTTCCCTTGATCCCCTTCACCCCGAGTACCCCAACCACCACAAAGCGTGTCGGACCGCTGTGGGGTCTACCTGGTTTTGTTTTTTTTAATTGTTCCAGGCCTTTTTTGTTTTCTGAACCCCACCGTGCCGCCTGTTTCTGAGGGGACAGCTTCCGCTGGCGACGGTTTGCCTTCTCTGGGGGCGCGTGTGGGCGGGGGTTTGTTGTTTTTCTTTTTCTAAACCGGAGGCTCGCCGCCTGCCCAGCAGACCTCCCCCCCGGCCGACGCTCGGCGTTACCAAAACGCCGGTGCCCGCCGCGGTGTTTACGGCTGAATGAGGGGCGAGGCCGAGGAGCGCTGCGTCAGAGCGGGGCGGGCGGTGGGCC